GGTTAGGTTTAGGGTTAGGTTAAGGGTTAGGTTTAGGGTTAGGTTTGGGGCGGGTTAGGGTAAGGTTTTCGCTTTCTTTTTACATTTTTTGATCTTTTTCGTCGCGTTGTGATGACATCACATACGCGATTTCGTCGACCGCGCTTTTGTGGAACGCGGTTTTGACGGGTCACGATGTTTCTCCCCTCATCACTGGGGTGATGAGATTTTCTGTATCTTCCTCAATACAATCATCCTTCCCCTCTAGTATGAGGATTCCCCCACCCCCCCAAACACTGAGAATATCCCTTCCCCAACTGAGAGGAAGAGGAAAGAAGTTGCTTTGAGCTGAATAAAAATCAAAATCCATCTGAAGTCTGGTGGCCTCCTTGGCTACCTTGCAGGCAGGTACCTCTGCACAGGGTGGCCGGTTGTTTGTTTGAGACTTTATGCATTGGCTTTATTAGACTGCCTCTTCAAGAGTAATAAGAACTCAACTGCCATGCTGGGCACCACAAAAGGCATGAAAGGCCTCTTTGTCCAGCAACTTGAAGGGCTTCAGCTGCCCTGCATGGTCCTACCAGATGGGCATTGCCAAAAAGGCTTATTCCGGATTCCTTTAGGGTGGATCTGGCTTGCCTTGCTTTTCATTCTCTCTTGTTTATGGATTTTATAAGATGGCTGGATTCAAAGGAGGAACTTTTGCCACAGTGAGTTTCTTTCCGGTAGGTCTACTTTCGGCTCCACGCATCAATCCTAAAACTGGTGGGAAAACCTGACTCTGGAGCAGATGCTGAGCTGCTGGTGACTTTTATGAAGGAAGCTGCTGAGGGCTCCTTTGCCAGGGGAGAGGAAAAAAACACTCCCAAGCTCTCTGAAAAGTGAGTCCCTTTTTTTGCTGGCTTCAGCCCCAGGGAGGGAAATGGGCACAGCTTTCTGGGGTGAGGTAGCAGTGATGGTGCTGAAAGCAAACTTTTGCAGACATATGGCATTTGGACATTCTGACATTTTGAATTGCCCAGTTTATACTTTATACTCGGAGAGGATGGGCACTAAATGAAAAGCTCTGCTGAACTCTTCCCAGGCTTCTGGATAGCTGGCTTGACACAAGAAGAACCATCCTCTGTATCAGTAAAAGCCTCTCCGGAATTTGCTTTGCAGAGCCATCTCCAAGAGACACATGCTGGGGGTCCCCAAATGAGGATCCAGGCAGCGTGTCTGAGGCAGGGAATCATGGGAGGGAAGGGTGGAGGACCTACCCAGTTGCCCGCTCCAAGTGCTGGAGACCTGGGGTGTGTGGGGCAGAGCTGGGAGAGCAGGAGCAGCTCTTCTTCAGTTGTAAAAATCATGGTGGGGAGGGGGGGGTAGGTTGTGGCTGATCACTTTTGAAGCCTTGCTGGGTCAGAGATTCCTATTGGGACCTCATGAAAATTCCTCACTGACAACAGGACGTGTTCCTCTGAGTGCTGGAGATCCTCACTAAGGGGCTAAGGCTAAGAAAACAGGGTTCTGCCTATCCCTGGCTATTTTGCTCCCCCAAAGACAAAAAAAATTCAAATGCAACATTCCTGTTTTTGTTTTGTTTTTTAACATTTTAAGGTGTATTTTGAGCAGAAAGTTGATTTTGCTTTCTCACCCTGTTGTCACCCGGTAACACAAGGGGCTGTTCAGGAGTCTTACAGAAATGCCTTGTGCTCTGTCCTCTGCACAGCTGGGCAAACAGTGCTAAGCAGCAGCTGCCATCCTTATGCCCCTTTTCCAGTCTGAGTAAATCAGGCTTTAGGTGATCCAGAAACTGGCAGAGTTTTGCTACTTTTATCAACGACAATCATCTCAGGGTCCATTTTTGGTGCCAGATCTCCACCACGTAGGAAAACAGAAAGGCCCTTTTCCATTCTTTTCAGACCAACTATTAAAATGGATGGTGGTGGTCCTTGAGAATTTAGAATTGGAAAATATAAAAATAACTTGCATAAAAACAAACATGTATTAATTTACATCTCCAGAGGAAAGGCTCCAAAAGTAACTCAGCAGAACATAAATTACATATCACCAAAATAAACCAGACTGATTGTAATAAGTCAGTCCAAAAATAACTGATGTAATTTTCAGCATGATTTATTAGGGTTGCAGTCTTTCAATATAGGTAGTCCTTGACTTAACAATTGTTCATTTATGGGTCATTTGAACTTATAACAGCACCGAAAAAAGTGAGCTATTACCATTTTTCACACTTACGACCATTGCAGCATCCTCATATTCAACATTCGGATGCTTGGCAACCGGCATGTATTTATGATGGTTGCCAGGAGTCAGGTTCACATGATCACCTTTGGGGCACTCTGACAAGCAAAGTCAATGGGGAAGCAAGGTTCACGTAACAACCGTGTCAGGGAATTACGTAACCAGTGTCCAAATAAAGTCATAGACCCTGACATGAACTTATAGTTTTATATAAATATATTTACATCAAACAAGATGGTCGGGCAAACAAGAGCATTGTCAAGTAAATCAACACAGCAGGAACATCAGGAGGTGAGCACACAGGCGGGGGTGAAGGGAAACTCCCCCTCCACACCCACAGCAACCAATCACAGCACACATTGCCTCATGGAGGAGTGAGCAATCCACACCCAGTTCACCACAACTGCATCTTCTGCCTCACTGCACAACTCTTCAACACTCCAGCTGCTAAATTTAAACATCTTAAACTGTTACTAACTTAACTGCAGTGTTCACTTAACAACTCTGGCAAGAAAGGCCATAAACTGGAGCAAAATTCACTTAACTGTCTTGCTTAGCAACAGATATTTTGGGCTCAACTGTCGTCCTAAGTTGAGAACTACCTGCATTTTGAATTACAAAAAGTGCATTGAATTACAAGAATGTAGCACTTTCCCCCAATAGCCGCCTACGCAGACCTCCTGCAATGGCATCAGCAATATCACAAATGTAGCTGCCTGGCATCTGTCACCCCAAAAATTTCAAAACTATGTGTTAGTTAGAAGGGAACCCAATCCTGAAAAAGCTGCCAGTCCTGGTATTTGGTTGAGGGAAATGAAGAAGAAGGAAGTAGCTAATGAGTGAATTGACTCTGTGTGTGTTTTGGGGGGGGGGGGGACGGACGAGGGCTATAAACATTTGGGTGCATTTCCTTGGCAGAAGCCAGAAAATAGGTGCGGGGCAGTCAGAGGGACCTCTGGGCAGCAGGATGGAAGGGGGGGAGTAGCCTTGTAGAATATGGAAACGAGAAAGAGCATTAAGAAGGGAGAATCCAGATGTTTGCATCGGGTTCTGTCAACCTGTCCAGTTGTGAAGGTGGTCTTATGCCAGGCCCTCGGCCTCTCCAGAGTGCATGCTACACACACACACACACACACACACACACACGGAGCCATTGAGGGCCTTTCTGCTCTTCATGGTCTCATTCTCTTCTTCCCCCAGGGAAAAGCTTTGCATGGCAGATGAGGACTCGCATTCTTCTGCAGGAACTCTGCCAGGCCCCGGGACTTCCCTGCTCTCTTCCTCTGGTCCAGGTCTGACTTCCCCACCCTACACAGCCACTCCAGTTGACCACGATTACGTCAAATGTAAAAAAAGCCATCAGCAGGCAACACCGGATGGTACAGTCCCTGTTCTCAATACTGTCGGCACTTGAAGGTGCTGGACTCCTGGCGGGCGGGTGGGCTCAATTGACGGCTTCCAGGTGGGCGAGGGGTCCAGGGTAACACGGGCAATATTGTCATTCATTAACCCCTTCAGTTTGCCACTACCTCCCCTCTGGCCTAAACAATAGGTGGGTCTAGTTAATGTGCTTTCCTGGGGTCCCAGGCTCGGGACATTTCCCAGAGGCCCTTCAAAAATCCAAACTTCTTCTCTCCTCCTGAGCGCCCCACATGGGATGACTTCAACTCCCAGGATTCCCAGCTGTCACAGCATGGGCACCCCAGTTCACACCATCCCTTTCTTCTCACGAGTCAGTTTAGTACCACATCAAATGGGTGGCTTGTGCTGCTGCAGCTGGATGGGAAGTGGTTGCTATTGGGATGGGCCCTGATCCACCATGTAGCCTTGCAAGGGTCCGCCTCTGTCATAGAAAGCTCTGCCATCTCTGCCAGGGAGATGAAAGGGAGCGTAGGAGGAGTCTGCCACAGAGCTGCTCAGTCTTCCAAAATGCTCCAAAAGAGTTGACGGGAAGGGGCCTCTGCTTAACATCCACCTGCTTGCTTTGTGGGGCTTCAGTTGGATTTTGGGCATCTAGGTGGCTAGCGCTGCGTTCCTTATCTGGAGAATGCAAAAACAGCCTCACCACCAGGCTGTTTCCTGATCTCTGTAGGCCAAGCAGGGTTTAAGGCTGAGCATGCAGATGTAGCCTTTCCTGTCAATCAAGAAGCAGGGCAAAGTCGCAGGTTCCCTTCCTGTCTTCGGTTGTAGAGATCGCTTGGCTCATTCTTGACATTCATCATAGCTGGAGATGATACTAATGATAGATGCCGATTTAGGAACCTTCTTGCAAATGTTCCCCATGAGGATCTGGGTGACCGATCCCATCTCAGCCTTTTGGAATAATTTGGCCCAGAGAGGTGGACATTTGACCTTTGGTGGACCTGGGCCCATTCACTAGGATGCATCACCTGCTCTGCTTCCTTTTGCAAGGAGCTTCAGCATTGTTTTCTTGGCATTTTTGCCACCGTCTACTTATTTTCTCATTTCTTTGTCCATAGTCGCCCCATAAAACTGTTTTTCTGAGAAGCCTTCTCTTCTGGAACATGATCTGTCTCGCACTATTTGAAAGGCTGGGCTATAGCTACTTAAATCCAAGCGGCTCATGCTAGAAGGAATGACAAATGAGTGACCACTTTAACTCAAGACAGAGTTTTCCAGGGGTGCTCTCAGGGAACCCTCTCTGAGCAGGGCCAGAGGAGAAGTGAATTTTGGCAAGTCTCAGTGGTGAAACTGCCACAGTTGGGAGGCAGTGAGTTAAGAGAAATCCTGATAACCAAACCATGTTTCAGTTGGCCATAAATACTTAGCAGTTAAAGATAAAATGTGATTGTAGAAGATCATTAGGAGCCTTAGACCCTGTGAGGGGTTTCTGAGGCTGCTTCTCTCAGCTGGGCCTTTATATGAGCAGAGAGTCCTGGGGTGGTGAGGTCTGGTCTCAAGAAAATTACAGTTAGATTCATCTACTGTATTTTGTGGTGTAGTTCACCAAGATATACAGAGCACTCCTCTCATTTTCCCCCATGAAAGTTTTATGATGTAGGTTGCACTGAGAGAGAGATTAACCCAAAGTGTGCCAGGGCCTCCATAGAAATGAAGGATACAAATGTGCTCCTGGAAATCAGAGAAAGCCCATTAAGGACTGATCACATGTAGTCTGCAATCCACATGGGGTTTGTATGCAGCTCAGAAGACAGAATGAAAGCCTGTTTCTTGTCTTATCCAATCCATGACTGGCTGTAGACATGATTCAGCACCCCGCAGCTTCACCTAGGCGGGGTGAATCAGAAGTGTTGAGCTCCGGCTGGTCACCCTCAGCAAGAAACTTTCTGCCTAAATTAAATGGCCTTCAACTCCCATGGCCATTAGCCAGCTGAAAAAGTTGACTTGGTCAACGCCCATGGTGTTACTGTCCATTGCCCTGTAAGCCAGTTCACTCAGCAGTGTGTCCCTAACAGGCCTAATGGCTTACTAATAAATATGAGTGTCTTTCTCCAACATGAGAAAAGCCATTTCTATGGCATCAGAATTTCAGTTACGGTTTTCAACTAAACAGATCAAATATGATACATCAGGTTAAGAGTTTCAGAAAATGAGGCTGAAACGTTCAGAGGGATGGCAGAATCATCTGGTAATGCCAAGAATCATTTCAGTGTCTTTAAATCCTTAAGGAGAATAGGGAGGACTGCAAAAGTGGGGGGGGGGGGGAATCCCTCTTATCGTTGCCTCTGCAATGCTCCCCTCTGGTTTGAACATGGAGAGGCTCTGATTCTCAGACCAGTCTGTTCTTTATGGTGATGTCCACAAGATTTGGCTTCTCTCCCTCATTCTGATTGTGACTCAGATCAACCATAGGGCTTTAAGAAAATCACTGTCTTGTCAGCCCAGCCCCATGGTTAAGGTCGGGAAACAGAAATGGACTCCTGCGGACAGAAGCAGCTTGACTTGGCCACATTTGCATTGGATTTTCAGTGACGCAGCCAGAGAGCATGAAAGAATGCCTGCCTTTTATTACTGCAGAATGAGTGAAGACAACTAGAGAAAGCACATCTGATTGAATATGTTAAATGCTAAAGAGAGGCATATCTTGGGCCTGTTTTTGATCAGTGCAGTCCGTTTTATAGAAAGGAATGGGAAGTGCCTAAATTGAAATTGGTTACCCACGGTCAGACCTGACATTTGCCTGCTTTCCTCCTGGCTGCTATGCTGTCCAGCTGCCTTCATCAGTCAGCAGGATCCTGCTTCCCTGGGCCTTGAAGGTATGGAAGGGAAGCCAGTGTCATTCTTGTCACTCTGTACCTTTGTTCTCTCAATCATGGCTGTTTTTGTTCGTTTCTGCTGTTTTTGTATATTCATGCTTTTGTAACCAATATTGCCTGTGTTGCCCTAACCCTGTTAAAAATGATTCATAGACTTTCCTTACCTGCTTGTTGCCCATCATGGCTTGCTTGAACATTACAGCTGCAACTGATGATTTGGCTGTGCAAATGTTGGAAAAGCCCACAATGGCAACAGCCTTCTAGGTTCAGCTGCTGCAACCTGCATTGACTAGACGATGGCTGGGTAGACTTGGGCCTCCTCTCGCTTTTCTGCTGAATCCATTTCTGTTTATTCTTTTCCTGAGCAGTTGTTTTGAATATGCATAAGTTAGTTACATTTTCTGGGGGAAAAGACTGTTTGTGGGTAACAGACAAGTCCATTTGCAGAACTAATTCCATCCCCCTCACTGCAGAGCATCCCCTAAGGCAGTGTTTCTCAACTTTGGCAGCTTGAAAATGGGCTTTGCTAGCATGGGAATTCTGGCAGTTGAAGTCCACCCATCTTCAAATTTCCATGGTTGAGAAACACTGCCCTAAGATGACCATGCCTGGCTCATTTCCAAAGTGGGCCTGCCACTTTGGAAATGGGTGTGGCAATCTGCTTCAGGAAACGTTGAAGCTGAGTCAAAATTAGACATTCAGTCTTGGTGCCCCAAAATTGAAGATCTGAGACCAATGGATGCAGATCAGGATGGTCTAAAGCCTGACTGTTTTGACTATATTTTTTTGTTGGGCAGTCACATGCTTTTGTCTCATTTTTCACCTGGGAAGAGCCCACCATGGCTGAATCAGAGGGCTGGGCAGGGTCGGAACAGCTATTTGTCTTTGCTCCATTGGGGGAGGCAATGCCTGCCCCCAAACTGACATCATGTCAAAACTGTATTATAGCCACTGACAGAAAAGAAAAATCAAACACATAACAAGGCATTCAATAAATGATCCTGTGTACATGAGCTTTCCTCTGCAGGAAGTCATTCCATTGTGCCCTTCTCATAGCATTTCCATATTGCTCACACAGTTTCACCCCAGGGAGGAGTTAGGGATTTCTGCCACAATATGAGGCTCATATAAAATTGTTCATTACAACTGGCAATATATATATTTTAAACGAATGGAAGACTGTCCTCTTAAATAACTATCCTCTGGGAACTTTTGGGAATTTTCCCTGCAGGATGAAGAGAGACCCTTAAAGTGAGTCCTTGGAAATCACCCCACATACAGGGAGGACGTGCAAAAATACCAACACTTTGCAGGCACCAATCTATAGGATTGGTGGGTATCTAATCTAATGCCAGGGCCCACCTTGCTGGTATAGTGATAGACCTGTGAACCCAGTAATATTCAAATTGACTAAAGCAACTTCTATATTTAGCGATCTTTTCTACAGCATATTCTATCTGACCCATGATTTAGGAATAGATGATGTTGATCTCATGGTGCTCGGCCATGTCACTCTTGGTTTCCTAATTTTCTAGGGACCTGATACTGTCTCAACAACTTCTCATAAAGATTGTAGTTGCTATCTTATGTTAATATAAATTTCTCTGCTTTCATTCTTTGATGCTTCAATGAACACTTTTGTAATATTTCCTAATGTGTATACAAAGCTTTCTGTTTGTATGCAAATTTCAGAGGGATGAAGCCTTTTCCCTAGGTTTTATTTACTGCCACTGCACTCTGAGGAGGGAGCAAATGGCTTTAGAGTGTAGAGGATTCCTTCTTATAGGAAGTGCTTTTCACAACAAAGCTCCACTAGAACCAGCTTACCACTTACAATTTCTCTGTTTCTTAATGACCCTTTTCTCCTCTGGCTATTTTGATCAAGCAAGAAATGGCAGAGCCAAAGCAGACAATTAGCTTCATCACTTCCACGGCTCATAGGAAATAAAAGATATACATCATAATTGGATCAGCAGTTCTCAAAAATGACAGAATAAGCTGAGATCTGCCGAAATCTACCATTTAATTCTGAGCAGAAGTGTTATTTTGTCTTACAACCGGCTGCCAAATCCATTTCCCCTAGTATTTAATTCTTGTGGCACCAATTTGTTGTGCGAATATGATTATGACCAGAAAGTAAGATTTCATCCCTTAACACGGGCTCTATCCTGTGTTGGATTGGATTGGGTTTCTCCTCTGGGGTTGGATTGCTTTTTCACCCCTCCCTCCAAACGTTCCAGGCAACCTTTCTGTCTAATTTCCCCCTCCATTCCTACAAAGGTTGGACAAGTCTAAATCCAGCCAAACATCTATATATCTGTTTCAATATAGCAGTTAATTTCCAAAATACCATCCTCCAATCTTGCAGAAAAAAGCAGGCCATATTGGCAACAGAAATCCAGGGCCCTTCGCTGGAGGGCAGGTTCTACATAAGAACACTTTCCATGCCACCGTTGAGGCCATCTTAAATGGCTTAGGTTGGGTATTGATACCCGTCCCTACAATTACTAAAAGATTGATAGGAGCTAGATCAAGGAGCTAGAATTCAGAATAAAAGTTGCTTTCCCTAAAGATGAAAAATGACTTAGGATGTTTCCCACCTATGTTCAGGACTGAATTACAGGTGTGTGTGAGTTTCCTAGAGAATTGCCACCTCCTGCCCTTGCAAGGAGACATCCTGTCCTGGGACCCTCCTCTCATTCCCTAATACTTTCTGGGCAAACACAGCCAATCTTTTGTTTCCTAGTGTCAGAACAGACTGAATGAATTTTCACCAAGAAAGATAATTTATGGGGAAAATACTCCTGTTCATATCTATATGTGTGTGTTTAGTCCAGCCACAACTAAACATGATCGTTTCCCTGAAGTACCTTGCCAAAAAAAAGAATAAAAAGTAGGCTTGCAGTCAGCTGTTGCTGCAAAATTTCCCCTTAGATCATCATTGACAAGCATCAGTATTGCTTGCTTCCTACTATCCTGCATTTAAGATTGTTTTGGGAGATTTTTGTCAGTCAATGTAGGAGGGAGAGTAGCCAGACCAGGAGGAAGAGTCAAATAGGGAATTAGTCTGAAGTCCCTACATAGGCAGAAGAGAACGAAGTCTGGCCCTCCTTGAATGCCTTGAACCTTATCTAGTCTTACACACGTGCAAACTGTCAGTCTTCTTCTATGCAGAGGGATGAGCAGGAAAGCAGCTAATTGAACTCTTCAGGTATGGATCTGCTTGTTCGTACCTGACTGCCAATAACTGAGTAGGCCTTGCAGATCTTTGTGTTTTCACTATTCATTGTGGGAGGGGAACCTAATCTAAGACCTTTTTTAGCCCTTTGAAAACTAAGAATTATTTATTAAAATGCTAGGAAGATTTGTTAGACATTTTGGGTTACAGCTGCTTATTGAGGGTGGTGTGGTGGAGGGAGAAGAGGCCTGCTTGGTGGGCTCAGCTTTTCCAGAGCCAGTTTAGCACACCCAGGTTGTCTTTTGCTCCTGAATGTCAGCATTTACAATTTCTCTGGTTTGTCAGGATGACCCCCTCCCCCCCATTCTGTAGCTTCTCAGCCATCCTCAGATGAGTTCTCAATTTACCCTTTCATTATAATCATTTCCTTGTAAGTATTAAATGTCACTCTCATTGCTTGCTATACTGTGCACGTCTTTATTTAGTTTACTAATTGAGGATACGATACCTTGATAAAAAGGAGCATCTTCCCTAAACGCTTGTAATGCAATAGCTGCTTCCATATTTAAGGAGCCAAGGCCTTTGGCTTTGCTGCAAGGGATTGCCATAGTCACCTGAACGCTAAGAGCTTTAAAATATCCCTGCAGCTACAATTACTTCTAGCTGAATATTTTAAATTGATATACAAAAGGAAGAAATGTTAGTGGGCTGCAAGAGAACCTGCATGGTGAAACAAATGAGTGGATGTGTTGCTCTTTGCGCTTACTAGAAACCAAATGCTGAATTGGAGGTGGAGGAGGATGAAAGAAGCCGCTGTTGGGAAAAAGGGGGGGGGGGGTTGCTGTCAAAGCCCTGTCTCATTTTTGTCCCTGTTTCTCCTGTGCAGACAGGAGTCAGGACAGCATGGCGGTTGGGCTTTCGGACTCCAATTCCACCCAGGACACCTTTACGGAGCTTGCCAGCCTCCCGGACAGCAACAAAAAGACTTTTCCCGAGGGGAGGCCCTTGGCTTCCTGCTTGGATGCCACAGCACCCGGGAAAGAGATCCTGGTACCCACAGAGGAGAGGGGTAAGTTGAGCAAGACTGGAGCCTTCGGGCCTTGTGCCAGGGAAGGAAAGCCTCCTTCCTGGGCTTCTGCTGCCAGAAGTGAAAAGGCAAAGCTGGGGCTGGGGGTGCCTCTCAGCTCTCCTTCTGCCTACCTACAGGGCGGTTGGGGATTTGGGTGAGCTGGAGCAAAGGGAGGGTGATGTTGCCGATTTTCTGGCCCTGTAGGAAAGCCGGAAGACCCTCTGGGCAGCCCTGACGCCTGCCGTGCTGCGGAACAGAAGCCCTCTCCCCAGGGACCTTGCAAGTTCTCTGCTCCCCCCCTCTCCCAGGGGGACCCGAATAGACCAACGGAGCTCCTCTGCACCAGCCAGTTTGCCCAGGGCCTCCCCACAGACCTTGAGGAGCAGCGCACTTTTCTGACTGAGCACTGCATAGCCGCCTTCCACCTCTGCCTCAGCCGCTTCCCTCAGCACTACAAGAGTCTCTACCGTCTGGCCTGCCTCTATGCCTGCAGCCCCACCCATAAGGTAGCAGGGGGTGGGGTGTCTGCAAATGTAAGGGTGGGGAGACAAGGCCAGAACAATTAGCCTTTCACAGACGGAGAAAACGTCTGTTGACTTACCTGAACAGTCCTATGTGCGCTGCGAGGAGAATCCAAGCATGGGTTAACTTTGTCCATTAGCCTAGAGACTGAGTTATGAAATTGCTGGCCACGCCTCCTCTGACTGGAAGGGTTCAATTTTGTATGAAGGCTCAGCTGAATTAAAAGATGTAGATTTTATCAATTCAGAATGCAAATGAGGTAGTTCCACAAATCAAGAAAGGTCTCACGTCCCAAATACCCCTGGACCAGCCGAAGCGAGGGTGGAGTAGATTCTCCTCGCAGTGCACATAGAAGGACCATTCACATAAGTCAATGGTCGTTCTGTGCGCTGCTTGCCGTTAGAACCTTCTGAAGGACCCGCTGCCCAAAGGAGGCCTCTGCCGAGGCAAACACATCTAATTTATAATGTCTGACAAAGGGCGACGGTGATGACCAGGTTGCTGCCCTGCAAATCTCCTTAACCGAGGCTTGAGTGGCCCAGGCAGCCGAGGTGGCCGCGCTCTTGGTGGAATGAGGAGTGGTGCACCTGGGAACAGGTTTAGATTGAGTCTCGTAGGCAAGGGCAATGCATGCTTTCAGCCAACATCCAATGGTGTTGGAGGACACTTTCTGTCCCATAGTTGATGGCTGAAAAGAAACGAATAAGGCTTCAGATCTTCTGAATGAAGCGGTTCGTTTCACATAATGGTGAAGTGCCCTGCGAACGTCAAGATAGTGCTATTGTCTCTCCCGCGGGAGCAATGGCCGCTGACAGAAGTCCGGGAGAATGATCTCCTGCGCCTGGTGAAACCACGAGTTGACCTTGGGGAGGAATGTCAGATCCAAGCAAAGGACCACCCTGTTTGGGTGAAAAATACAGAGTTCCTTGCAGACCAACAGGGCTGTGAGCTTCGACACCCTCTGAGCTGAAGTAATGGCTACAAGAAAGGCAGTTTTAAGGGTCAACAATCTGAGACTAACTGAGTGGAGGGGCTTGAAGGGCTCCATGGTAAAAGCCTGTAGTACCACAGCCAGATCCCACGTGGGATAGCGCTGGATGACGGGGGGTTTGAGGTTTGAAACCTCTTTAAGAAATGACTGTACCCGTGAATGGTGAGACAAAGAGCGCCCATGTCCGCCGCCGATGACCGTTGATAGAGTAGCAACCTGGCGACGCAGAGTGTTGGGAGTAAGTCCTTTATCCATACCTGTCCGTAAAAACTCGAGTACTTGTAGCACAGAGGCTGAAACAGGGTCAATGTTGGCTCTGTGGGCCCACCCGCAGAAGGCTCTCCAGGTGGCCTTGTAGTTCCGTGTTGTGGATGGACATCAAGGCGCCTGGATCATTTTTATGACCTTAGTCAAAAACTTTTGTTTGATCAAGATTTCCCTTTCAAGTCCTACACAGCTAATTGTAAGTCTTAGCAATAGCAATAGCAGTTAGACTTATATACCGCTTCATAGGGCTTTCAGCCCTCTCTAAACAGTTTACAGAGTCAGCACATTGCCCCCAACAATCCGGGTCCTCATTTTACCCACCTCGGAAGGATGGAAGGCTGAGTCAACCCTGAGCTGGTGAGAGTTGAACCGCCGAACTGCAGCTAACAGTCAGCTGAAGTGGCCTGCAGTGCTGCACTCTACCCACTGCGCCACCTTGGCTTGGGGGCTCGGATGATATAGCGCCCCCTGGGAGAGAGAGATCTGATCGTCCAGTATTCTCAAGAATGAGAGATAGACAAATTTAATAGGTCGGTGTACCAGGGACGCCGTGGCCACATTGGGGCAACTAGCAGGACCTCCACCCGTTCCGCCAGTATTTTCCGAATGACATGTGGGATTAGTGGAAGAGGCGAGAACGCATAAAGTAGCCTGGGGGCTCTCGCAAAGAAGCGTGGGAGGTAAGTATTGTGGGGTTGCGCAAAGAGGTGCACGTCTGGGTGGCCGAATCTGAGGGATAGCTCCTGGAACAGGGCCGGGGATAGACTCCACTCTGTCTGATCCACCGTTTCCCTGCTCAGCCAGTCCGCTTGGACATTCGTGGTCCCCGAGGTATGCTCCGCTCGTATTGATAGAAGATGTCTCTCCGCCCAACAGTGGAGTCTTTCCGCTTCCAACCTCAGTGACGTGGACCGTGTGCCTCCCTAGCGGTTGACATGCGCCTTGGAGGCCACGTTGTCGGTGAGGACCAGCACATGGCTGGCCCTGACCAAGTCCTGAAAGTTGAGAAGTGCCAACCGGATGGCGCGCAGCTCCAGCCAGTTGATGCTGTTCCTGAACTCCTATGAAGTCCAACGATCCTGGGCCACCTGGTCGAATGAGTGCGCCCACCCCACCCCACCCCATCCGTACAGGCTCGCATCGGTCGTTACCACAATCCGGTCCGGCTCCTTTTTTATTTTTTTTATTTTATTAGTTTTATTACAAACAACACACACACAAAAAAACATCATCTGTCATAACATCTTGTAGAAAGCATATCCATTGGTCACAAGTACATTTCGTGCGTTCTGTCCACAATCACATATATTCCATTCAGTCTAAATTGTTCATGTTAAAAATTTATATATTTTACTATCACCATATCACATTTAGTTAAGATTTCAAAAACACAGCCACCTGTTGGCATTTTTTTCCCTTTCCCCCAGTTCCAGTCAATATGCCATATCTCTATATCCTTATAACACGTTCTAAAAAGAAAAAAAAAGAAAAAAAGAAAGAAAAAATAAAGTCAATTAGTAGGACATCTTATATTTCCTCTCTCTAACATATCTTTGTTATTATTATAGTTAACTAAGGGTTATTTACATTTTTTTTCTCCTCTTCTCTCCACAAACGCAAAAAGCAACAATCTCTGAACAAAAATCTATTAATATGTGTTAACAAAATGACCATTTAAAATCTAAGATAATATAAGGAGAAAAGAAAAAAATATTG